AAGCAATATTCGACTCAGAATCATTATATAGAAGATCAAATATTTTAGTGATGCTTTGCGATTTGAACCTTTTTGGTACCACTCCCGGTTTGGTCTTCGTCATCGCCATCCCAGGCTTCGACCTTCAATTTGCGCTTTCTAGGATCTCCCGCTGAAGTTGTGCGCCTTGACCAAGTCACTGTTTGAAACTTTTTCGTCAGTTTCCATGAATTGGACTAGTTGTGGTCACAGCTAGATGGAAAAATTTCCTTTTGTATGCTTTAGATTGTACGTGGTGTAAACACAGGTTCGTTCAATTGTTTCCAAGTCGTGGAGTTTTTGCTTGCACTTGAGCGATAGGCGTCTTCGTAACCTACGGGAAATGGTCGTTTGGTTTCACTGGCTGCCGCCCTTGCAGGAAATTTCAAACAGGTTGCTACCTTCAATAGTTTCACCTTGCGTATCCAAGACTCTATTCTTATTATCCGTTTTGACGTGCTTTGCAAAAGTTTTTAGCTTTTTCTTATGGATTGCTGTTGCAAAACCTTTCGCGGTGCCCTTTTTGTAGTGCCCTTGGCTTTCTTTTGTGTATTTTGCGTGACCGTCTGATCTCTGGGGGTTTCAACTGTCGTTGTTTTCAAAATTTGTGTCGGCAAAGGGGTCAAACTTGCGAATTTCTTGGACAAGTTGTGTCAAGAAATTGAGAACATTATACATTTGCATTTTCCTTATCATCAGGAAGTGTACTTTTTGTGCATTACGTTTGCCATTTTGTTTGTTCCGTTTCTTTGGCTTGCTCCACAATTTTCTCCGAGGTGTATGAGCATAACCTTCACCGTGTTGCTCGTCGTGTGGTACAAGGACCATCTTTTCGAAACTTTTTCTTCCATTTCATCATTCTCAAATGCCAACGCGGGTTTCATAATAACACCAATGTGGTTTTCGTGAAGGAAAAATTACTTTGCTGCCGCGCCTTTTAGCAAAAATCCCATACCTTACTCAAGGTTTACCAGTAGCCAAATGTGGCGAAGGCTTGATTTCTCGTATTTATAGAGAGGTACGGTACCTTTGGTTGGGTTGTAACCATTCGACAAGGTTTAACATTTCTTTGTCGGTTTGCTTTTCGAATCACCACTTTTGGGTTTGAAGCTTTGTCAATTTGTGAAATTTGCAGGTTGTGTGGACGACCTTGCATTTTCGATGACTTCTTGGGTAGGTAAAAATTTGCCTTTTATCTGGAAATGTCTGTAACGGACGTTCGTTTCCGATTTTCCAAATTTGGATGACAATTGATTACGAGATATTATTAAGGTTTGCAGTTGCATCCCGAGATAACTGTCCCAGAAATAAGGAAATTGGTTAGGAAAGCACTGTAGACCCCTTGGCGAGCTTGTAGTAGGTCTGAGACAGATCTTAAAAGGACAATGTAGTTTGCATTGATGCGGGCGGTACGTCGGGTCCGAAATGCGTCTTGACTTAGGAAAAATTGGTGTACAGTTTTGGTGGTGAGTAATTCCTTGAAGTCAAAGCCGCCATCACCTTTCTTTCATGTCAAGCATCAAATCGTCCAGGATTACGATAGGCATTTTTGAGTTTTCCACTTATTCGTCGCTTGGTGGACCCTCAATTTTTGAATTGGAAGGCATTGCTGGATATTTTTCTTCATTTCTTGTTTTGACCCAGTAAAGTAGTAAATTTCTTGGATTCCTTCATTATTCGGCTGGGAATTTCTTCTAAATACTCGAGAAATTTCATTGTCCCTGTTGTCTTGCCGCCCCAGGATTGACAAAACACAAAAAAAAATCGAACAAGGATATTGAAATTTGAGAAGGTTTACGTTCCCATATTTCTTACGTTGAAGGGAGAGTCTCGCTATTTATGCCTACTTTGAAATTGACTGTTGGTTTTTAGCAACTGACCCGAAAAAACCCTTTCCTACTTTGGGTCCTTTCCCGGTTTTTTGATTTAAACCGCCCCACGTTCCGAAACGACTGCCGGGTGTCAGCTGTCGCTACCGCCTGTTTTGACGCGTACAAACACGTTTTTTGGTAGTATAAGAAATATGGCATGTAAAACAGAAATTGACTTGGTGGCATCTGATTTTTGAAGGGGTAAAGGACCGATGCCGATGATGATCCCTATCCTGATTTTTCAGCCTTCGTTTTGCTAATGCCGTTTCAGCGAGGCGCGACAAAAAATAGTTGGCAGTGATGCCGACGGCACGATTACGGCTTGCTATGTGGACGGCTCCACTTTTGTCACACTCTTTCGGGAATCCCAGACTGAAACTCGTGCTTTTGATCTGGTACGTTGATCTTCGACTTGAACGCTTCAACTGGTTTTCCCTATTATAGATTTCGGACCAGAGTCTAGACTACTGCGATCTGGCCATTGCTGATCAAAGTGTTTTGATACTCACGCTGCAGAAGCTCTATTGCATCGGCCCAGATGGCAGCGTGGTATATCCTTCAAACCCTTTTCAAAGGTGTTTTCAGAATTCAACGGAACTATTCGCCCATGACGTTTTCAACGCGGCTTACATTCCTCTGGCTCATCGACGGCTTAGAGTTCTGAAGTGGATCGAATCGGGGAGGATTTTTGAGATCTATTCTGTGGTCGATGGTCGGTACCTTTATTTACAAGGGAAGGTTCTTGGGTCAGGTGTCAAATCGACTTGAAACTTTGCCAGTGCATAGAAAATCAAAAATAAAGTGGAGTTTCTTAATCATTTTTGCCCAATACCCCAAATTAAAGTTATAGGTCTTTGAAGTTACATAAAAGCACGAAACGACCCGACGATTCTGATCTGGTCCTCATTGTGGCCTGCCCCTTGCGCAAGCTCTTTGCGTCGCCCGGACTGGCAAGCTATATGGGCCGGTAGGTAGTGCCGTAGAGTGCAAAACTTTTTAAATTTTTTGTAATCGAGTTCAAGTCTTTGATGCGTCAACTTTTTGCTTTTTTTATTTTTCGCCAGCTAACCCCTAATTTGCAAGAGCAAAAGCAAAAAGCAAAAAAGATGGAAGAGTTTTAGTCTAGAACTTTTTCCTTAAAAATTTTCAAAAGATTGGAATTAAACGCACTACCGATTGCGCGCTAGAAGAGACACGTGGGGGAGTGGAGACGAGAGAGGTCAAGAAATCACGCATGAAGAAAATGTGGAAACGGTGCGGTATTGGTGCAAAAGCCTGCGCAGGACTCATTTTTAGACCACAAACAAAATGCTTCTTTTTTAATTAAGGAATATTATTACGAAAACAACTTAGCGCACAACGTTCCGTTTTCAATTCTCTATCAACTGTGCCAAATTTTCAGAAAGATTTGACACCTGACCCAAACAACCTTCCCTTGTTAGCGATATTCAGGGTGTCCCAATAAAAATGTTCACGCTGTCATTTCACCATTTCGGGGCCTAGCGACTTGAAATTTCGAAAAGAGGTGCGCAAAGGTGCTTGAAATGTTCACCTGTTTTTATCAGCCCACTAACCACGTTTGGGATTATGGAAATAATCTTGTGTTCGCCAAATTTTTGGCTTCCCATTCTCGGCTTTTTTTCGACTTTGTAGTATTTTACATTGACGTCCGGCACTGACCTGTTTCCTCTTGACCTCGGGTTTCAATTATACCTTTTAAAACAACTTAAACAGCCCATTTCATCGCTGAATTTTGTGAATTAAAAAATTTTCACAGAGCAAAAAAAATCGGCTCTTATTTAACCTTACTTTCCAAGCACGATTCCGTTGGAATCCAGAAAAGTGATAAACGTAATTAAGAACAAACCACCTATAAAAGTAACACAAACCATAACTCAAAAACTACGGCAACTTGCTGAGAGTTTTTGTGCACATTTCAAATGCGATTCGGCACCTATGTTCAAAATATCAAATCGCTCCGTCTTGAAATGGCAAAATGGCAGCGTGACATTTTGTCCTGTCATACCTGGCTTTTAGATGTAATCTACACGCACCAGCTGACAGAAGACGCTAACGACATACGCTTCATTATGCAGAGGAATCCAGGCGTCGGGTCAATTACGGCCTGGACCAGTTGGACAACTCAAGAGCCGACTTTTGTAAGAATTAGGCTAGCGCACATCCTTCGGGCTAGTAAAACCGACGTTAACTTATTTTTTTAAGTACGTGGCCGGCCCGCTCGGGATCGTGTGCATGGACGGTGGTGATCGGAGACATGGACTTTTTCCCCGACCTACCAAGATGGTTGTTTTGGACCATCAGAAACTTCAGCAAGTGGGGCATTAGCTATAATAATTTTCCTGTGGTCTCCGTCAGTCGTTCGAAGTCGAAGTCAACTCGAAGGGGGAAAGGAGTTGGAGCTTGGATCTTTTCGCATTCAGATAGAGAAAAACTCCATAACTGATCAAGAACAGAAGCTGAAAACTCAATTTTCATATTTTAAAATCGATTTTTATAATTTGGTAGTAAAAACGGCGATTTGCACGATTTTGGGGTTTTAGTGAGCCATGTCGCGCGCATTTCGGGGAGCTCGAAATCCAGCTTCAACTTGTTTTAGACAACCAAGATTGATAATGTTCAGATCCACTACCTGCAATGGACTACATTTTGTCTGCACAACGGGTGGGTCTTGAGTGTTTTCTATAGCTCCTAAAAATATCCTTGAAATCCGTGCTGTCACCGTTTGAAACTCTTATTTCGGGGTTCTAGTTCGTTAGCGGGGGGGCAGGGTGAGGGGTTTAATGTTTCATTGTTCAACGCAGATTGTTCGATATTTCATTGGTTTTGGCGACTCCCCGGTAGAGCATGAAAAAAACATACTAAGATTTTTTTATGGTGGCTCAAAAGACAAAAATTTAAGAAAGCAAGCGAAAAGCAAAAATAACCCTCTAAAATTGGGTAGGCAAGCTATTTTTCAGGATTTTCGATATTTTTCGACATTCTTTTAACGTTATTCCATCGGGCAGCAAAAAAATTATAGTAAGGGTTTGATCTACAGTTCGAAACAATGTAATTTAAAACCAAAGAAGCTATGGACAAAAAATTGTTCCCTCCCCCGCTAATCAACCAGAACCTATTTAGGCATTTGGTGCGATACCAGCGCTCCATTAAATATTATGACAACCCTCCTGAAAGACCCGATGTCGATCCGGGGCCCTACGAGTCGATCATCTGTATGAACCTGGAGCGAAAAGCCTTCATATTCTTGCGAAGGGATGGGCAACTGGAATACGCTATGCTTGGAGCCATTGAAGATCCTCAAGGTGGGGCCTGGTAATTTGCAAAGGAAGTGCTTTTCATATGTGAAAATATGATACATGCTTTAGGGTTTCAACTTGAGTTCATCGTCCCGAGAAGGTCGTGGCGATTCAAGCCTGGATGCGCTGACGATCCGGTTTTTACGATCCCATACATTTTCGATGGGGATGAGAATGGGGCACGGTAACGCAAAATTTAAGGACCGTCAGAACGATGGAATTCCGTTGATAGCTAGAAAGCTGCGCACCGGGCGGGGGTGAAACCCGCGATGGTTCGATCCACAGTCCGACGCGCTAGCCACTATACCACGGGACCAAGTGGGAAAAAGATCCAGAGGCGCCCCAAAACGCAGAGGGCCGTTACGGGGTACCACTAATGACGTCTGTCTTCGCGCGCTCTTGCGGGGGCGCATCCTCGGGGTAGTGTGCGGTCCAGAGTTCCAGCAGTCTTTAACGGGTCGAACCCTTTACTCACCTACAAGGGGCGGTTTTTAGCTGTGCTGTGAAACAGCCCATTCGATAAAGCCTAAATTACTGAACAAATCCGATCTCTCAAAATCTGCTGAACGACACCCGTTCTCAAGGAAATTCGCCCGGAAAGGGTCGATTTTGACCATTTTTGACCCCCGCTTAGAATGCGAACTTTGAGAAACTGATGCACGAAGACCGTTATCGTTCAGCATCACCTAAAAACCACTCTGTCGCGATCCCGCGACTGCATGCGCATGCTGAATGACCGGAAGACCAAGCCAATAACCATCCCTTCCCCTCATTTACATGCTGATTTCCCTGTGTTCCCTGGTATATAAAGCCCCCAATTCTCGTTGTGATTGCTTCAGTCATCCGCTCCGACCCCGGCTTCTCCAGTCCTCATTTACTTCAACGAGGTGTCACCCCACCGGGGACACGCTCCGAATAAATGTTGTGACCTTCATGTCTGCTCTCCCACGCTATCGAGACACACTCCTTGTTAGTGTTAGCAGTTCCAAATGGCAAACCGCCAAAATCCCGACATTCAAAAGCCCGATATCCATAATCCCAACAGCCAAATCCCGACAGCCAGAATCCCGACGGCCAGAAATGCCCGATTTTAAAACCAGTTATGGGTAAAATGTGTGGCACCGTCGGGTAGGCTCACAGTGATATTATTCCCCTTATATGTATTACTGTTATGTTATACTATTGGACGTACCGTAAGATTACGGTTTATTACTATTACACTTATACAATACGATAATAAGAAATATATACTTAATATATAATACAAGATAGGCTCTAATGGGAGTTCTGCTCGTCCTCGTGGACGAGGGGGGGAGACAGCCAGACTGATCGGATCCGAGCTCCCATCCCAGAGGGCACTTATATAATATAGACTCCGGATAGGCCGGAAGCAGATAATAAAGGGATCGCACAGGGTGCGACAAAATAGCCGAAAATGTCACATTTTGGCTGTCGGGATTTTGGCTGCCGGGATTGTGCATGTGGTTCTGGTTCGTTAGCAGGAGGTGAGGAACATTTTTGTCAATTGCTTCTCTTATCTTAAATCACCTTATTTTGAGCTGTATGTAAAATTCTTACTATAAGTTTTTTGTTGCTCTAGCGGAGAGCGGTCACAGGATCATCGAAAAATTATCAAATTCCAGAAAAATAACTGACCAACCGCATTTCTTAAATTATTGTGTTTTGCGCTAGAATAAAAATTGTTCGTAATTTTTGTCATGGGGTGAAGATGATGTAGTCCCCAAAAACTGACGAAATATTGCAAAAACTAGAATCTAGAACCGAACTAGAACCATTTTTCTAGACGCTAATCCCAAAAAATAATGAAAGAAATTCCCGGGTTCATGCAAGCTCGAAGTCAGGCAAACAAAACTTTCGCTTTTAGGGAAGCGCTCATGGGGATGCGCATCTTTGTGGAGTGCGCTCGAGTTGGCGGTGAGCTCCATATGCATGTAAGTACGCCTTTGTTTTGCGCACCTTTCATCCACCTCTACAGTTTCGCTACATGAGCCCGGATAAAAAACTCGAAACGCATGCCACGGCGCTGCCACTGGGGCCAAACGGCGACATGATGTTAGTGCAACTGTGTAAACATTCGATTATCAACAAGTTTAGCCTAGCGAAACCCGAGCTGGTCAAGTCCGCCTATATCCTTGCTTCGAATCGGTCGTTCGTAATATTGGCGTTCACGTAAGTTGACGATTGCCGCTTGCAGGGGTGTCCCAAAAAAATTCCCCGACCTAGCGGGCCATCGACGTGTCCGATTTGACCATTTGGGTATCTATCGAAAGCGCTGGGAAGGCCTATTTTTTGGGACGCCCGATATACTCAGAGTCCGCTTCCAGGAACGTCATCGCGTACGAAAAAAGCAAAGATGTGTTCAACGTCATTTCGATGGATTTTGCAGCCGGCGGCAGGTGATTAGAGTCAAATTTACACACGTAAACGAGGTTCGGGTTCGTTCGCGGGAAGGTTCGCGATTTAATATCGTAGATTTTTCCATAGATTGCATTCTTTTTTCGGGACTACATTATTGCGACCCGGTAGAGCATCAAAGAATATACTAAGAATTTTCTGGATCACGACACAATAGTATAAGAAAGTTATAACACAAGCAAAAATAGTCCTAAAAATACAGGGTGGCTGATAAGTATCCGGAATCGCTTTAAAATTGCCCAACAAAGAAAGCTCCTTCAGTTTTATGACTTGTTTTCTTTTTTATTGTATAGAACATGGCTTCCGTAAAATTTTTTACAACTGATCATGAAACATCTGACCTGCTTAGAATATTGGCACGCCAAAATCAAACTTTAATTTTGCGGTCCGGGACGTTTTTCGCCGAACTTAAAAGTCACATATCTTGAGATAGAAACGTTTTTGAAAAGTTTTCCCAACTGATCTTGCCATGGCTCCAGGCGCTGAGCATTTTGACATATTAAAAACCTGATTTGGTTGAGAGACCGGATTTTGGATTTTTCCGATTCAGACCAATTTTCGAGATCCGGGATTTTAGGACAAAGGATATTTGGTCTGCCAATAGCCCGGATCAGAATCTATGGGATTTTTCTGTGTGTGGATTGATAAAACAGGAGCTACCAAACATAAAAATCAACAATACAAACTATCCGCGTCGAGATTCTACCAAGATTTGGAACGAATTGTTTAGAAAATACTTTTTCGACATTTTGTTAACGCTATTCGATAGAGCATCAAAAATATATACCTGGGTTTTATATACAGCTCCAAATAATGTGGTTTAAGGCAAGATAAGCTTTTGACAACAACTGTTCCCGCGCAGTCTGGCCATTGCTTGGCACCTTGGAGCTATTTTCAGTGAGCAAGAATATGCGTCGGCGCATCGCAGCCGAAAAATCGTTGACATGCACTTTGGCATGGATCGGCGCGAGCTGTGGATATTGATGGAGAATGCCCACATCGTCTGTTTACAATGGGTGTCCGGGAAGGGTAGGTTCGTGCTAAATTACCTTAATTCCGGCTTTGCAGATGAATTCCAGCTTCATCATCTGCGGTGGATGAGCATTCCGGGGATGCAAATTGCCCGCTCTTTTCATGTAAACTGGCCGAAAGGGGTTGATAAGCCCTACGTAAGTAACTACCGAATTCCTGTAATTTGGCAAGTCTAGGTTTTCGGATTTCGAGCACGTAGCCATAATGCCCGATTCCAGGGAATGGTAGGTTTGGGAATGAGCTTCTCTCGGTTTAATTTGAATATACAGAGTGTCCCAATAAAATCACGTCCCTCTAAATGCAGAAGTATCGGATCGGAATGATAGTTACACCATGCGAAAGCCCTTGAAACGGCGAGTTTGCAACAACCTTCAAAACCATGTTTTTATTTAATAGCCCCCGTTTAAAGGTACACTAAAATCTCGCGCAAAAAGTTAGGTCGTGGTCGGGAATTCGGGCTCTTATCCGCGGAACGCCCGGCCCTTCTTATCCCCCTCCCCTCTGCCCTCTACCGTCTGTCCCCTTGGCCTAGTGGTCTAAAGCGCCTGCCCCAGGCGAGTGGCTCGGGTTCGGTTTTACTCCGCGGCGAGCCCCTACCGTAACCCTGCTTGCTATCCCGCGGACGGTTACCGGCCGGTAACCAACCCAACGAGACTTTAGTGTACCTTTAAAATGGATCTAATAACATCAAAGCACGGCTTCTGCATCTAATATTGCTTGAAACAATTAAGGCAAATTAGCCGTACTTACCTGCTAAAAACCGGAGAAATTTTACAAAATGGCTTGCAAAATAACCGGTTTAAATAAAGACATCGTTTTGAAGAGCGTTGCAAACTTGCCGTTTCAAAGTGTTGTGTCTTGACAGAAGTGCGGTGCGCAGCGCGCACTGTTTATTCGACGAGCGACATGGCGGCAAGAAGGGGAGAAATTAGAACTGAACTGGGGAATAAATCCCATCGCAGGCCCATGGGGGGGAGAAAGACACCGTTACGGTGGAAAGCGCACTGGATAGGCGAGGGACCCGGGGAGCCAAGGGAAAAGGGCGCGGGCGCTCAAAGGCACCTCCGCAACATAAAGGCTATCGAATGGTGTAACTACCATTCCGACCCGAAACTTCTTCGACGAGTTAGAGGGATTTTTTGAGACAGCCTGAATAGTGTCGGTCGTTTAGGCAATGACGCCGGTGGTCTACGATCTGACGGGGAAATGCCAGGTAATGGAATGGGGCCAGGATGCAACGGAATTGTTGGGCCTTCCGCGAGACCATTATTCAGTGTAAGTTTGCGTGCACCTGATACCTTACACCATTTCTAGGCACATCAGTGATCGGGTGGGAGTCCTCATCGATTTCGAGGATCCGACGGCACCGAAAGGGGTTAGGCATATAATTTTATTTTGTGGACGTCTTTCTCGCAGCTTCGCATGCACCTGTGGGTTGAGCAAGTTGGTTGCGTGCTGCCGCCCTCACAGCCATATGACATCCACAAAATGGTCGCCGCACCCGTTGATCAACTCGGATTGAGTTTGGTAGGCTTTTGAGACACGGAAGTTCAAGCATATCAACCTGTGAATTTTCGAAAATTGGTGTAAAATATAACATCGAAATTGCTCCAAAAACTAGGTGTTCCAAAAAAGGGGTCCTGATAGCGGCCCGCAATCGTGGCCGATTTGTACGATTTAGATATCTATCGAGAGCTCTCGACGAGCGGAAAAGTATATCTTCGTGTCGATTTTCAAAATTGGCGAATTTTGCTTACATTAACTAAGATTTTTGGGAAAAGAGAATTTGTCAAATTATCCCACACTTTAACAAAATACAAATTTTCAAATTTTTCCTGGCGGCCCGAGAGCAACTTTTTCAAAGCAAGCTTGTATAAGCTTGTGAGAAAAGCCAGCTTGTATGGGGCTGCCGCCGATTAAAATGAGTTTTTGACGAAAACTTGTAGGTTTTTGATGAAAAATCCCGAAAATCGTCGGAAAAATTCGGGGATTTCGCCATTCCAAACGAGCCGCGTCTCGTCTCTCTCGTACCGCAATCCCTAAGTATACGAATTTTTACGGCTTGAGCCCATTGAGCAACTTTTAAAGGTGTGCTCAGCTTTAAAACGGATTGGCCGCTTCTAAAATATAAAAAAACGCCAATATTTAGATTGCGGCCATCGGCACCGGCGTCACGCTAATGATTTACCAACCCGAAACAGGCAACTAATACAGAAACCCAAAGATTTGAATAATTTTTAGAAACCTTGATCAAGGTCAACGAACACCTCACGCGTCATCATTGCACCGATGTAGGATTTGGCAAGGTGGATTTTTAACAATCGCAAAATTCCTCGAAAAGCAAATCTGAGATGCTTCTAGGTCATCAAAATGAAGATAAAGAAAACCGTATGCCTCCGCGTCCCGTTAATCATGGCGACCGAGCGCGAGATTGAAGTGCTGCAGGTCATCGTGAAAGGCGATTCTGAATGTAAGTTGCTGGGCTTTTCGCCGATATTTCGGTTCCGAATTTTTGCTATCATGGTGTAGGTTATACCAAAATACTCGCCAGATTATGGCGGAAGTTTGAGTATACAAAGTGTCCCACAACCGACCGCCCCCTCTCCCTCTAGCGGTCCGGAGACGGCTCGGATCGGTATGATTTTTGCACCATTCGAAAGTCCTCGAAAAACAAGCGCTTTTCGTTTTAGAAATTTTTTAGCAGAGGCTCGATATTAAACGATTCCTTGAAAAAACGTCGAATCAGCTTCGTCCTGTCAGCTTAAAGGGGCTCGGAAGTGAAAATTCGCGTGTTCGGGGATTGAACCTGCTGGCCAAAAAACTCAAGGGTTACTGCTGAGAAGCATCAGAAAAGTTATTTGGTTGCGAAAAAACGTAAAATATTTGAGTAAAACCGAAATGTTCTCGGGGCGAAAACGACTTTTCGAGTGGGCGGCGATTACTTGTCGTGATTTCTTGTAAGCCACCCAATCTCCTGATCGCGGCAATTCTGTGCTCAATTTTCCTAATTGAAGCGTCTACAATAAACAAAATTCGCTGAGGATTCCAAAAATGGCGTGAGAATTTTTGAATTGAAACGTTTTCACGTCCAAGCAGAGGCAAAAAAAAATCATGTGGCGCCACCGCGTTGCGGCCGCATGATCTATTTGCCAGGAATCAACGCAGGGTCGTGGACCGCATCGCGGGGCCCCTTTAAACAAGCAGTGGACATGCGGGTTTTGCATTAAATCTGCAGTTTTCAGGGGTTTTGGTCTTAAATGAGTTGAATTAAAATCGTTATGATGAAAAATGAAAAGTGCTGATTTTCTTGCCTTTCCGAGAGCTGATTTGCAAAAATCGGACGGATCTGTGGCCTACTAGAGGGCGGCCGATGATTTTGGGCCATCCAAACACCAAAAATGCTCCAAAAACCTATACCGTGATGGTATATTTCAAAGGACATTTTCGTCTATTTAAAGCTGCTGCCATTAACTTATTTTCTAGTCGATTGGCCGGGTGGGAGCAGGCGTTTGCAGAAGACTGTTCGGCCAGAAGCGCCGATCGCGAACCGGTTCGGCTTCCCAGTTGAATCGCGCGTGCGACAGATTTACGTCCCCGATCGGGTAGTCCTTTCCTTAATTTTTCGACTTGCCTTTTCGAAGGACGGACCCCCGGACGAATGCGTGATTTACTTCATTTTGGATGCGACTCCTGATCGGAAGACGATAAAAGTTGGGTATGTGTCTAATAAGTGGCTAAATTTGATGTGAGGGAGAAAATAACGGAGGGAGAGCAGTCAAAGTTTGTTATAACAAAAATACTAGTTTAAATATGGTTTTTCCGGCTATGAAACTCCTAGTATATTTTTTGGCTCTCTATCGAATCGCATTTTAAAATTTCGAAAATTTTAAAAACGCCGAAGATAGGTCTCCCGTTATCATCTGTGCTGTCCATAGTTTTAGGCTACACAGGGCGTTCCAAAAACATAACAATCCAATTTAACCGGTTTAAACGCTATTCAAGTTGTGTTTTCGCAAACGGCTTACAAAAAGCTGACGTTGGGCTGCCAGAAAAGGCTACAAAAATTCATAAATTGCGATTTTTGTAAAAAATCCTTTGGTCAGAAAAACATGAGAAAATCCGCCAGTTTTGCAAAAACATTAGTAAATGACAGAAAAAATTCGAAATTTTGAAAATCGGCAAAACGTACCGGATTCGCCTTTCCGACCGAGAGCTTTGGATAGATACCTAAAGCGTAAAAATCCGACAGGTCTGCGGCGGCCCGGCGGGGGTTGGGACACCCTGTATAACTTTGATATTAAGTTGTTTCGGGCGTGCTGAAAATAATTCTCTTTGTATATAACAAATACATCTAGCAAAATAACAAAAAAATCTCAAAAGGTTGGTTTTCCGCATCCCGCTACCCCGATGTGCTGCCCGTACATTTTCCTTGTTCGATAAAAATTGGATTTCCATTTTTTCGGGCCGAAATTACATCTCATAATTTATTTTTGGAAGTTCTATCAAATGGCGCTCGAGAAATCCTACAGTAATGTAAAAGATTCAAAATAACGAGTGCTCCCCCGTTCTTTTAACCCACTCGTTTTCCTCTATGCACCCTAAAAACCATGCGCCGATGATTCCAGGCTGATAATCTTTTACACCGACTCGATCACAGAGTTGCCGAAATGTCGACGTTTCCCAGAGGCCACTTGCAAAGACGTCTTTATGCCGTGCCAGCAATTTAAAGTATAATCGAGTAAACGCCCACATGATGTTTAGATGACGTCAAAAACAACGACCTCTGGCATTCCTAGTCTCGACATTTACTACCGCCCCTTTTACGCCTCGAACCAGTCGAAATTCGTGGGTTTAAACACGCGATCAAGTAAAAATAAATTTCTTTTCTAGAAAATGGCCACCTGGGACCTAAAATCACCGGAAATTGCCTTCAACAAGGAGGTGGAAGCGTTTGAATCGTTCGAATACGACTCGAAGCTGCTCTCGGTTGCTGGGTTATGTTCGTCTTATATATATCTTCTTTAGGTTAAACGTCAAGGTGATCATTTTACGTTCCATTCCAGGCAGGTGGACAGCACGATTAAGGAGTTGAATAAGCCAACAAAGGGTGGGTATACTCGTTTTATTGACAATATAACGGAGATAAATTAAAAAATACAAGCTGTCGCAAAAGTACTACTTGAGAGCGTTTTCCGATCTGGACGATTTAGCTATCTATAGGAAGGTCTAAAAAGGCGAGGAAACTTTTCCTTTTCTAGGTTAAGAGTTTTAATTGTGTAATTTTATGGCCAAAGATTCTAAATGTTCTAGTTTATGCGCTTGGAGTTAATTCCAATTTTCCTACAGGCAAGCGTGTGTTTTAGCAAAACGCTTAATACTTACTATATGTACAGGGGCGTAGCCAAAAATTTTTCCACAAAAACTCAAAACATTGCCTAAAAACAGCGCCGCAGGCAAAAATTTTTGAAAAACCGGTGACATAGCTCTACAAATAGCCGTAAAAACGTGAAAAAATAGCGCCGCAGGCGGCAAAATTTTTGACAAAATAAAAATCATAAGGGCCCCCCTTATGAAATTTTCGGGCCCCGGCCGATTTCGGGGGGCGGGCCCCCGGGGCCTGTATTACGCTACGTCCCTGTATATGTATAAAGAAAACTCTCAAAAAGGTCAATAAAATTGATTCTGTGCTGACGCATTTTCGAGGGCCTTCAACTCACGTAAAAATTTTAGCCATTCGAAGTCAAGGGCTTACGTTTTCTTGGGATACCCGGAACGCGCTAAATTCGCTAGAAAATAAACAGAATTTTCGGCACAAAATAAAACCTTTCCAGGCCCCACCTACTTTCTCCACAAAGATGCGGAAAAATACGGCTGGCTAGCTGCTAAAAAGTACAACGGTCAACCGGTAATTCCGACAACTGCTCTCGGAAAATTACCGAAATTCAGAATTTCTTCGTTGATGAGCAGCTAACGGCGCGGGCCAAAAGATATGGACTTTGCGAATGGCTACCAATTTTGAGGTACGCTTCGAAAGATATACTTGAAATTAATTTTTTTGTGCTGAGATTTTGTAAATAACAATAGTTTTTATACGTTTTTATACCTAATACATTATTATAGAAACCAAGCGCTGGTGTATGGCGATCGATATTTTCAAATCGTCCGTGCGGGTCCGTGCTTAACAACGGAAAAACCGTGATCTGCTTGAACTTACGTGTTCTAACTCTATTTTTGCACAATTTTTTAATTATTGATTGCATAATTGTTTGGGTAGCCCGGCTATATATTTCTTGGCCTCAATTTTGTTTCTGTATATTCAGATCTCAATTATCTCCTTACCTCAACTTGCCAGCTTTACACCGCGTGATCATACCTCATTCACCCTCAATGGTGTCTTGTCAATTTTTTGCTCAATAAAAGGATTTTCTATTGAAATGCGTTTGATATGCACCCACTGCGTCTTTTAAATTATATTCGAAAAATTCTAATTAAGGAAAAATTAAAATGAATACCTAAGATTGAGTTAGCACCCCCGCAGCCGATATTTTAACGTTTGGCCGCCAATTCTTTTTTTGGCTATTTTTCGATTGGCTATATTTTGGCTATATTCTTACTGCTTACTATTGCTCTTACTAGATATCGGCGAAGATTATGGTATACTTTAGAGCTCCGTAGCGCAAACTAGCGGCGTGTTACAAAAGTTAGGCTAACCGGGGGTCAACTAAACCCATAAATTACCATGCGCCAATTTTGCATATCCGCTTTTCCGAAAAAATAAGGATTCTCAAAAAATCATACCATTTTCTCGTTTTACTCGCCCCGACACAGCTGTTTCGATGCCGCTGAATATCCTTCAGAGGCTCGTTCCCAAGCGGCTCCGCAACAAGATGGTAATTTTATATCTCTAAGTTAAGATTCAAGCTCTCGAATCTACCACTACTCTCCAAATATGTTTTTTTTAGGCAAGCCTGAAACGCGCCGCCTCCTCGACGCTATTCCCGACTGCGCTCTCCACCAAGCAGAAGCCGCTGGAGCCGGACGACTTCACGGAGTCGGACTCAGGTAAATTATGACCTGGCTTGCAAAAGCTTATGTTGCAGATGTTGAAGTTCTCATATTACTGCGTGAATTCAGAACCGGAAGACGTGGAGAGCAGCAGCGTTGAGACGGAGTCGATGTACACGGCTTCTCCCTTTCGCCCATCGCTCTATCGTCGACGGTACCACACCGGTAGTGGCCGTGATTGAACTCGTTGATTTTGATGTTTCAGAAACGCTCCTCGAGATCCCGTCCTCGGCCGGGTCGTTCGTGACCCGTCGCAGCAGCCCGCCCTCCACCTCGTTCGCCGTCGAGAGCCTCGTCCACGTTGATCACTTTCAGGACGCATGGTAAGTTTCGGGCCGGCTTCATTTTGGCCTACAGAGTCGTAAAGTATACCAAAAATACTCGTCAGGCCAAGAGGCACATTTTGTTATACCATGCGTCCCCACAAGTCATGGCTGATCCGAGATACAGCCGTCAAGAATAAAAATCCCCCAAGTTGACGAAGATTTATCCTCCATATTTCCAGCCCTGACCACTACCACAAAATGGCCCGTGCCGCCGCCCTCTACGCCGAGCACGAGCCGCACGCTGGGAATAAGGTGACACAGGCGTTTTGGAGTTTTTGCAATATCGGGGAGGAGGGTTTCAGGCGTAATTAGAGAAGCTCCCGTAGCCTTCGCGTAACATAATCATAAATAAACCAGATGGTTACAGTCGCTTCGCGACTGCAACCATCTGGCCTTCGGGCTACCCTACAGGTCCCGATCCACCACATCCTTTCCCACTTCCCAATACCCCCCATAGCCGAAATCCCCTTCAAAAACTAACTAAATACCTTCCCGATGGCTTCAGATACCCCCGATAGCCGAAATCCCCTTCAAAAACTACCTAAATACCTTCCCGATGGCTTCAGATACCACCCCTAGGCGAAATCCCCTTAAAAAACGAAAATCACGCCCGACCGGATGAAATGAGAGAAAAAAGAAATGAAATGAATCCCGTGAAAATTTTCATCCACGAAACGCGCGCCACCTGGCTCACTATGTCCAAAATCACCCCAACCTCCGTCCCCCACCCCTTTTACTAAGGAAAAAACTTTCAAAGTTAATTTTAATAATTTCAACTAAAACTTTTTCATAATTTTTTTATCAGTTTGGGGGTTTCCGACCACGCTCTATCCGAATCCGAAGAGAGCTAAGCTCTAGCTCCTTTCCCCTTCGAGTTGAATTCGGCTTCAGACAGACAGACGGACAGACGCGTCAAGAAAATTATTATAGTTGATTACGTATTTATAGGCCGCAAACTATAAAATATTTACTTCGGAAAGCACCAAAACGGTGACTAAATGAGTAAATTTTAAGGTTTCTACGTTTTGAACTTTTTTAATTAGTTTTTCACTGAGGATTTTGTTAAATTTTACTAAAAAAACTATAAACTATACTAGGCGTTAGTCTAGGCATCGGAAACCCCCGGAAAATACCATAAAGACCGGTTTTTCTCTCCTTACTTCGCATTTTTAGCCCTGCCGCATCAAGTACACGAAGCCGTTGGCGGTGCGCCGGCTGCGCTGCACGCGGACGCGCGCTTCCCGCAACTGGTCGCGCCTCTTCACGCGCAACGCGGGCGAATCGTCCAGCTACGAGGAGGTGTGCGACCTGACGACGAGCAACACATAATCAACAGTGTCCCCCGCCCCCACTCACTCGCTTAACTTTTAATCATTACTCGCGCCTTACTGATTGTGAATCGTGTATTACTGTCCCGAATCGATTGTATATGTCTGTCTACGAATAAAGTACAACCTTTAATTTTTTTGTGGATTACAGGGATCACTACTTTGCGCTTTCCGGTATTGTCAGCTAGTGGATTTTGATGGAAGTATTCTTCTTCTTGTAATGGGGGAAAGGCAAGAAGAAAGTGAACTCTCAAAATAGATCTGGAGGTCATCTGCTGCAGAATTTTGAGCTGATCACGAATCCTTTCAAAAGTAGTGAGAGCGCGTATTAGCGAAAACTAATTAAAATTTGCGTAGTGACAGCGCAATTTTGGTGCAACTACTGTAGCTGGCCGGCTATAACGCAGGATTGTGGCTATTTAGTGTCTGATACATCTCTGATCCAATTTTGGGACTGATCGTAGGTAATACGGCGAAATGCCGGAGGGGTGCTTTTTTATGGGACACCCTGTAGAATAAGAACGTGTTCGTATGGAAAAAGACTACGAAACGTCCAATCTTGACAACGATTGGATGTAGGGCGTCCAAATGCGGTGCGGCTCGTTTTTCCGAGACCCCAAGCACGCCTCGCGCGCCTCAATGGTCGATTTCGCCTGAAAAACTTTCCATTTTCTCAAATAGTCGCGTTTCGCAAAGGATTTATTTAGCAATTGATTTAATTTTTTAGACAATTTTCGTTGCGCACTTGATAATGTATTTGCAAAAAAGTGGATTAATTTGAAATGATTAGCACCGTTGCCACGTGGCACCATGTCAAAAATCTAGTTAAAAAGGGCCCATTTGGCAAATACTTTTATGATCGTTTGTTTTACTGGAATTTGGCTTTTCTCGTATTATTTGTTAGTTTATTACATATTTCCATGGTTCTATGGTTGTCCCTCATCGACAATCCGCTTACGCGACAAAAATCGGGCCCCGGCTATAATGGCCTCTTCCCAAGCCGCGGATGTAAACATGACGTAAACCTTGCCCCATTTCTATTTCATACAGTATTTGAATTATATTTTATATATTTGAATCATTAATACTATATATTGAACTTATTGTTGAAAGTAGTAACTACAAATAAATGTCGGGATGTCGGATGCCACCAATTTTGTCGCCGCGCACAGCTATTAATGTTGTTGAATTTGACGATAATACATGGCTTGTGGCGGGTAACTTAAATTCCTTTATATTGGACGAATAACCAATTTAGGAATCGACAACTGCCTGGAAATCGGCCCGTTGGCGGAGGGAAAATTAGCAAAACGGCAAACAAGGGAGCGGTTATATCGGATTTTTTTGTACTGGTGAAGAAATTGAACAAATCATTGTGATTCAAAATCATGCGCCTTTCAAAGGTAATCAATGCATTTATAAATAATCTATATACACTGCCGGTCATAATTTTGGCCCACCCCAAATTTTCGTGAATTTCTCGGCCCCGTACTAATGAACGGGGAAACGCTTCAAGTATGTTATGGACCACGCTATTGAAAAACAGGGGCTTAAAGGAATTCCCGGAAAAAATTTTACATTTTGCAAAAATCCATTTTTTAGTCGAAATTCCATTCTGGCAAGTGGTCATAATTTTGGCCCACCCAAAGAAACAGGGTCAAATGCACCCAAAAACAGCTTAAAATTTTATTCACTCAATGAATTAATAATCGATTGGTCCACCCGAACAAGGGATTGTTTGGAAAAGTCGATTGTCCCAGGCTCATGATCAGGTTACCGATGCGCTGTTGCGCGAGGGTCAGCCAAGCCTCTAAGATCGCCTTCTTGGGTGATCTAACGTCTTGATAGGGGTTATTTTTGAAGCAGAGCATTGTCAACGTGTAGCCCCAACTGTGTTTATTCAATCGCGACGCGGGAATTGATTACCCGCGCAAAAAGTGGAATTCCGTGACGTCGGAATCTCGAATTTGAGCGGTTTTTCCTGATCAATCGAGGCATTAATTTGCCGGACACGAAGTTCTCGCCCGGATTTGGCCGGATAAATGGTCGCGGCGATCGTCCGGAGGTGTACTCGTACTGATTCTGGTTTATCTTCTTGGAGATGAGGTTCGGTCTTATGCTTCCAGTCAAGCAGCCGGGGGGTACGGCCGTCACATCCCATTTCCTAGAATTTCGTCGTGAGAAGAGAAATTTTGCACCCGTCGGTTGGTGCCAATCAAACCGCGAGCCATCAGGAGCATAGCCACAAATTCCCAGACACCAGACTTCAAGAGCTGAGGCTTTGCGACTCAGCTTTCCTTCCACTGTGCAGTGTGGCTCAAACTCGGTTTTGCTCAACCTCATCTCCAAGAGGATAAACCAGAATCAGTACGAGTACACCTCCGGACGATCGCCGCGACCATTTATCCGGCCAAATCCGGGCGAGAACTTCGTGTCCGGCAAATTAATGCCTCGATTGATCAGGAAAAACCGCTCAAATTCGAGATTCCGACGTCACGGAATTCCACTTTTTGCGCGGGTAATCAATTCCCGCGTCGCGATTGAATAAAACACAGTTGGGGCTACACGTTGACAATGCTCTGCTTCAAAAATAACCCCTATCAAGACGTTAGATCACCCAAGAAGGCGATCTTAGAGGCTTGGCTGACCCTCGCGCAACAGCGCATCGGTAACCTGATCATGAGCCTGGACAATCGACTTTTTCCAAACAATCCCTTGTTCGGGTGGACCAATCGATTATTAATTCATTGAGTGAATAAAATTTTAAGCTGTTTTTGGGTGCATTTGACCCTGTTTCTTTGGGTGGGCCAAAATTATGACCACTTGCCAGAATGGAATTTCGACTAAAAAATGGATTTTTGCAAAATGTAAAATTTTTTCCGGGAATTCCTTTAAGCCCCTGTTTTTCAATAGCGTGGTCCATAACATACTTGAAGCGTTTCCCCGTTCATTAGTACGGGGCCGAGAAATTCACGAAAATTTGGGGTGGGCCAAAATTATGACCGGCAGTGTATAATCAAAATTTTAGGGCCTTGTATCGTTTTATTGGCCTATCTCAAATACGCGATTATAGACTTTGTGAAGTTGCTTGGCGATTCAAATGGAGAAAGGTATTTTATGCTGAAGAGTAGCCTATTAACCAAAAACCGAGAAAGCTAAACTAATTAAAATCATTTTACTTAGTTATAACCTTTTTTTAGGGCCGTCGAATGGAAAACCGTTGTGGATATCGAAGAGCTTTGTCTCAAACAAGATAAAAAGTTAGAAATGGTCGAAATCGCCTTTCCGACAGCTGTCAACTGGCATTTTTCGGCAGCGGAATCGAAGCTTTCTGTAAGGCTTGCTTATAGCATTGTCAACTCGAAATTTTGTTAATGTAATTAGTTATTTCAGTGCCACGGCTTCTTGTCGATAGCCGTCACCAATATATTTGAACCGGATGTGGCCGAAATTGCGATAAAGAACCTGTACGCCGAAGGCCTGGAAGGAGGGTGGGTCCGAAGAGTTAAAAAAAATTTAGCTCGATGCTGCAAGGTGTCCGTGCTAAAGCATCGTCTATTTTTCTGAAAAGTGCTCGAAAACTGCCTCCGCCGAACGCTAGGAACGACAGCGAGGGGTTCTTTCGCCTTATCGGGGGTGACTGATGGAACGAATTCTTCCTATGAATTCAACACGGTATTAGTAAGTGTTTTAATTGTTTCGAGCGTAGTTTAACGGTATGTGAGTGGCAAAAAAAACATAAAAAATCCGCACAATTTTTAATGAGAGTTAGGTTGAAAGTTAGTTTTTGGTCCAAAAAATCTATGGTTTTCCGATTTTTTAAGCAAAACTTGTGTATTTTTACGTTTAGAAACATTACCTGTATTTATATTAGACAAATTGGATCCTTAGAGAAAAGTTGGGTTTTAGCCGAATGACCCTGCCCCAATTCCCCAACTTTTCTACAGGTGTTTTGAACAAAAAAAATATTACAATCAGGCCAATGATTCCATGCATTTCCACGGGCAACGGTGATGATGGATCTATTGCTTATTACGATGAAATAAAGCATGAGGTTGTCGAAATCCTGAGCACCGGCATCATGGAGAAATACCCAAAGCCTATGGTACGTTTCTTGTTGTCGACACAAGATACCAATACCAACATCCAACCATGTTTAGTCGTCAAAAGCAGCAGAAATCGATGAGAACGACCTTGCCATGTCGCGGGAGAAGCTGTATCTATTGAAAGGCAACTATTTCTACTGCTATGATCGGGCAACAAAGCAGGTAGCTGCCACTTAAAAATTGGCTGCGGTGTTATTAAACTGTATACGGGGTGTCCCAAAAAACGAACCATCTCGCATTTCGCCGTGTTACATCCAATCGGTCCCAAAATAGGACGATAGATGTAACAGACCTTAAATAACCACAATCCAGAGTTATAGCCCCTTAGCTATAGTAGTTCTCGAGTTATAACAAAAACACTGTTTTCCCCGCAATTCTACACAGTTTTTTCGGCTTCGTTTTGGACTTTGCATCGATTTGCATCGACTTGCGGCTGCGAATCCCTAATTTCGATTAAGGACTTGGGTAATTTTGCGTTGTAAAAATCGCTTAAATCGATGCTTATTTAATTATTTTTACCTTGGAAAAATTTTTTTAGGTAAAGAAGGCTTGCGGAATCTTTTTCACTTAATATTTGGTGGGACTAATTCCACGGAAACCCTATAAAAAACGGAATCCAACATAATTTTTCCTAGATGGCCTCCGTCATGCTCAGGTTCGCAAACCCAAGCACCAAGTCATTCTCGATACCCACCAAGGGGATCCGGATTTGGCGCGGCGCGGATCGCGAGGGTCGACCTGCCGATTTTCCCTTTGTCGTTTACGGCGGTGGGTTGTGGATGATGTCCTATGATTTCACTTTAAAGGGCGTCCCAAAAAGTTGGAAAGCTTGAAAGCTCTCGGAAAGGGGAGCAAGAAGCACTTTTTCGTGTTTTAGAATAATTATCGAGCGTGTTTTGTACATTGCATCCCAATTTGCATCTTATCCCGTCGTCGCGTCGGCATGCGTAACATCTCTATGCTACACCACCTCTCGACGAAAACCAGGAACTGCTTAAAGCGCACATTCAGGGAGGATTCGCCTCGCCTCGCGCCCTCGCCTAGCCGCCCTCGCCAGATTGTAGCTGTGGCTGACTGGTACCCATCCGCGCCTCCCGAGCGGGGGGGCCCGGGTTCGACCGGCTACCCATCATTACTTCTAAAATCATTACTTCTAAAATCATTACTTCTAAAATCATTACTTCTAAAAGTCATTACTTCTAAAAGTCATTACTTCCAAAATCATTAACTAAAGTCATTACTTCTAAAAGCCATTACTTCTAAAATCATTACTTCTAAAAGTCGTTACTTCTAAAATTCTAAGCGTATTTTTGGGCATAAATATGCCGAAAAAGTGGTAATCCGGCATACCAAATTTTAGAAGTAACGTTTTTAGAAGTAATGATTTTTAGAAGTAATGACTTTTAGAAGTAATGACTTTTAGAAGTAATGACTTTTAGAAGTAATGATTTTAGAAGTAATGACTTTTAGAAGTAATGATTTTAGAAGTAATGATTTTAGAAGTAATGATTTTAGAAGTAATGACCGTACCCCGGTTCGACCCCCGGCCGCGGCTAAAATCTTTGCTTTTTAAAAAAAAAACGTTCCTGAACGTGCCCTTTAACCTATATTAATGGTGTTCAGATCGGATCCTCGCGTACCAATGCACTGACGGTGAACTGAAGCTGCAGTGGCTGATGGATTGCAACTGCGGCGTAGGCGATATTGAGGCCTGGGATTTGATCGGGAATGATTATGTAGTAAGTATTCCCGTCCGCACATCAACTTCAGAGTAATCTAGATTGCCTCTGGACCCGGGGGAACTGCGAAAATAACTGTGTCGAATGTTATATCCGAAGGACCCAAGCTGCTTCCTGCCGACAGCATGCGCGATTTTCTCGTTCTGAAATCGGCCGAGCTCAAAGAGGTATTTAGTTTTGGGGTTATTGCTATTCTCTTGTAAAAAATATGCTGATTCATAATTTACGAATTTAGTTCTTCATTGTCGGCGACAGAATGTTGTGGCTATACAAAGGGTAAGCAATTTTCTGAAATAGTAGGTCGATCAGCATTTTCAAACTCTCGAAAATACTCAAGATGTCGGGAATGCCCCCGCGTTATGCTATTTGGTGCCGATAGGTTTCAACGACGGTCAGCTCAAGATCTTTTTCAGTCACCTCGTGCAGACGCGTGTCGAGAGCGCCTTCTTGGACAAACCTCTCGAAGAAGCCCCCGATTTTCCCGTTGCCGAGAACGGCATTTACGAGAAAATCTTGGCAGTGAATACGAGCACCAATATCGTAGTGCTACTGCGCAATGATGAAGGGGTGGCCTACCAAAGTTTCGACGTCTCGGTCGAGGATGCCCCAAGTGAGGACCGTCTACCTAGTAAGAGAAAAAAAACCCGGTTTTAGTTGAACTCCCACCGCTCGGTTTCTTAAACAAAGCCAGCGTCAAAGAGTTATTGGACCTGAAGATTTTGCCCGATTTATTTTTGACACCACCCAATGTCTACCGGCCGGCGGGCCAATCGTAGGTTTTTCCGGCATCTCATTCGTGTCGTTTAAACGTAAAAAATAAACAAAACCTCTGGTTGACCAAATAATAGGACTTGTCAATAAATTTAGCAAAACTATCGAAACAGTACAAAACGATACGCTTGTTGCTTTTACTTTCACCCGTTCTTTCTCCGAATTTTTTATTTTTTTAATGCCGTTTGGTAGGGTTTTGAAAGCTATTGGCATGGTAGTGATCCCGGATCAAACCCGTGTCAGGGTAAATGAGTTTGGAGAAAATGACGGGAGCCGCAATTTTTAGAAGTTCTTTGAAAATTTTTAAGGTCACAATTTCGAAGTCTTATACTGTCGCAATTTCATACGGTCGCAGTGTCATAATGTCGATTGTCATGATATTGAAAAATACATGAACTTTAGGCATTATAGTATTTCACTAACTATCAATTTCAACATTCTGAATGTCGAAATTTTGAAAATTATGATAGCCAATCTGATTTTAGAGGTGACACGAAGGATTTCATGGAAACTTGTTTGACCTTGGTGGACGCTTGCATCGATAAAATCAGCTTCGTGGTAACCTCCACGTGTTTAGGCTCAATTAACGCCATTTTCAGTGCCATGCCCAAAGGGCACCCGAATTTGAGCCAGATAACTGGGAGGTCGTTTGGGGCAGGGGCCAAGTGGAAGATGAGATGGTGAAGACCGCGTTTTTGTTCATCGACGATCAAGAATATTTGATTGGCATTACACAGTATTCTGAATTAGCTCGACTTACATTTTTGGATCCTAGGTCAGGTCTGGTCTACGGGCCCGCGAAGGGACATGGGACGTGGATGCCATTTACCGAAGCGGGGAGCGGCGAAGCAATCGGAGTAGGATTTGGCGGTTGTCTATATTTTCTATTAGTTTTTGATTTCATATAGGTGATATTATGAAAACGCTTTTAGAACGCTTATAATAACGTTATGAGGCTTTGGGCTTGCCTGAAAAAATTAGGCCGAGAGCAAAAGATGTGAAAAGCGGAGCAGAAGAGGCCTACACAAACGTGGGGCAGAGCTGATTTCTGTAAATCTGTGCGCGCTTGTTAGGCTTGTTAGGATCGCTATCTCTTAATTATAATTGCAACCCTTTAAAACGCTGACTTCAGAAGGTACAACTTTGTCGACATGCAATGCCTTTACGAGAAGCAACAAATTTTGTTGTTGATGCAGGGTGCTTTTGTCCTAACGTGCGGGTGGTTTGTGAAAGATGGTAAGCGACTTGAATATGGCTTGGTATCATAATGCCGAAATCTCAATATATCGGAAATTTTTGCTTAGTATTTGAGAAATTTTCAGGCAGAAATTTTTGTGTAAACTTCGATATCATATGAAATTTCGGCATCAAAAAAGTTTCGACATCTGAATTTGCACCACATCAAATTCTACGTTAACCAATTTCGTAATTCTCAATTTCGACATTTCGAATTTCGACACCATGGAATTTTGGCCTTCAAATCGGGCGTTTTCAAATTTCGACTATCAAATTCTACGTCATGTAATTGCGACGTTTTGAGTTTCACCATTATCGGATTTCGAAATTATGAAACTTCGACATTATGAAATTTCGGCACTATGAATTTCGACAATATGAAAAGAAACCCTAGTATACAATCGCAGTCGTCTATTAAGATAAGCTCATCTTCCAACAGCTCCGCTTCGATAGCATCCCGGATTTGAGGGAGGCAAAATGTTTCCTTTCTCACGCAACACAGCGCTGTCTGGTAGGTGGTGTCCCGTTAATGAAATCCGCGAATTCAGGTGTTCGGCTGGGGACATTTGCCGAGATACTGGACCAACGACGTTCGTTAAAGTCCACGTGCTTCGTTTTAGCCCGTCGTTTAGGATCACTATTCACCTCTAATCTACGACTACGAGACCAAGAAGCGCTGGTCGTCCAGTCGTCATAACCTCAGGGAGATGCATGCGGCTAGAGAACTTTGCTTTGGAGTGTAGGTTCAGCCGATGGTGATCACAACCTTTTTTCAGCCATATAAACAGCGATGGCAACGCGAGCATGGTAGCCATCAATGGGGCGAATGAATGGGTGAGTTTAAAGGGGCCAAGCAGTGCCAAAAATAAGCACCTTTGGGAGGGACCCTATGGTCCGGGGAATAGCCAACGACCGCTGCCGGACCAGAGGCTCACAATTTCGATTTTTGCGCGAAATTGTTTTTGGATTTGCCGACTTCTTTGTGAGAACCGGATAATTTTGAGTTTCTGATCTCATTTCTAAAATCAATTCTAAATTGTTTTGGTGTTTTAGCATCAAACTTGGCACAGAAACAGCCGAGAAACAGAAACAGAAACTAACGCGCCGTTGCGCCCCGTATCATTTATTGGGAATGCACTTATATTATCTAACAATATTTAGTTTCACCTAGCGCTCGAACGGGACGAGGTGGTGACAGTACAACCAGGGTTAATTGCGCATCAAATCGAAAAGGTTGTTGCCGCTCCATTCGACGACCTGGGCTTCACCTTGGTGGGTGCGACAAAAAAAGCAACCAATATTTTCGCGCGAGAAATCTGAATATTTTAAGTATAGGTTATTTGACAATTTTTCAGATAGCTGCCGTCGGTGAATATCGCGCTACCCTACTCATCTACCAACCGGAAAATGGTAAGCGAGCCATGATAATACCGTTAAAATGCGCTTAGAATTATTGACAGCCGTCAACGAGCATGCCGGGACAAAATTTTGCGATGCGGGCTTTGCTTTGGTATGCATAACAAAATTTTGTACCTCTGTCATAACCGAGTGGGTCGGGCTCTATGCCAGAGACACACACCAGTTACGATCTTCCCATGTTGGGGCTGTTACTACTCTTCTAGTTAGGAACCCTAATCCTAACTTAACTGGCTCCGCGCCATAGGTTGTTCTATGCAATGTCCCAGATACGAACTATGACTAAGGATACGAAATTGTGACGTTGACACTCTTTTGACTAGGGGGGAAACTCATGAGAAGGTCTTAATGTATAAAGTGTATTTGTTACCCACGGACTTATTATGAGGGGTTTATTAGAGTAACTTAAACTGTCATATAAAACTGGGGACGGGATAGAGGCCGAGAAAGGAAGTCGGCCGGCGCGGATACAGACCCTAACAAATATGATTCTTAGAGATTATAAAGCATCCCAAAGGGACGGAAACCCGTCGGCCCGAGAGGGCCTCCGGTCTCCCGTGGGGCTTCGAGTTAGCTTAGCTTAAGGAGGGACAGGGAAGGGGTCAGGGGGGAAGGGGGGAATCAGAATCTGGGGATCGACTGACTGATTTCGGGAATCGAGGGGATGACCCGCTTGAGAGGCGGGGCAGATAATGGTGCCGCAGGCACCATTAAGCATATGTGCAGGCACTATTAAGCGTATGTACTACACCTAAACACTTCCCTTTTTCGACAAAGACGGAAACCATCAATGGGGTACGGGTTGCGGTGGCGACGCTCGTTTTGATGGGGCGGGAATCACTCGGCTCATTCGACGTCCTCGAGCTGATGATAAAGGGCAACGTTGAAGGTGATTTTCGGGTTGAATTTTACGATATCGTAATTGTAGATCCGTCTATGCCGGAAGTGTTGATACTGAAGCGGACCCGGCGGTGCGGGCCGGGACAAGCGAACTGCATGTACATCCCGCAAACGGTTGGTAATCATAAGTGTTTTCTATTATCTTCAATGACATTATTTTCAGCTGTACATAAAACTCTTACAAGGGAACCTCACCCGGACAGGGTGGAATTTCGAAAAACGCTCGCGGCTACCCCTAGGTAATCGACCATTGCGATCACGATGCGCTTGTCAGATTTTTCTGAATGCATGTGTAGACAGAGATACAGCACCTCCGGAAAATGATGATTTGCATGCGAAAAATTAGCATCGAGGGGTGGTTTATTAGGCTCTCCCATCACTATGGAATCACCAGTTGAATGGCCGAGTGGTAAGCAACTCGCTTCCTAGGATACTGACGAGGGTTCGGATCCGCTCACGATTTTTTATTTTGCTTTTTTGGCCAGAATTTTTGCACAAGTCCAGACCAGTTAATGTATCAGACCCAAATATTTACACGTCGATTTTTGCACGAGCCAGGGGTGCCGTTCTAGCATTTTCTGGTGCAGTCGATCAGACAAGGATTCTTACAAAATGGCCAAAATTTTTTTTGTTCTCTGGCGTGCCAAAGGATGCATGGCCGTCCGCCTCGATGTCGGGACTATATTTTTTCGAAAAAATGTCAAAGATCGATTATCCGCATTTATTCGATTCGATTCGAAAAAATATGAAAAAGCGATTATCCTGGGAGTATGGGGGCTTCATCAATTTTGGCGATGTTCTGGGCTTGTGCAAAAATACTGGCCAAAAAAGCAAAATAAAAATCGTGAGCGGATCCGAACCCTCGTCAGTATCCTAACAAGCGAGTTGCTTACCACTCGGCCATTCAACTGGTGATTCCATAGTGATGGGAGAGCCTAATAAACCATCCCTCGATGCTAATTTTTCGCATGCAAATCATCATTTTCCGGAGGTGCTGTATCTCTGTCTACACATGCATTCAGAAAAATCTGACAAGCGCATCGTGATCGCAATGGTCGATTACCCAGGGTTAGCCGCGAGCGTTTTTCGAAATTCCACCCTGTCCGCGTGAGGTTCCCTTGTTAGCATATTTTTTGACGCTTTATTATCAAATTGCGTTAACAGAATGTCGAAAAACAGTGAAGATCCTGAAAAAAAATAGCTTACCAACCCCATTTTCAGAATTATTTTTGCTTTTGTAATAACTTTCGTAAATTCTAGTGTTTCGAATTAGAATTCAAATTCTTTATATTTTTTTTAAGCGCTGCAGGGTCGCGAAGTGGTAGTCCCCCACAAAAAGATTAAATACCAAGAAATCAATTACTTTGCCGTCCATTTAGTACGAGTGGTGGGAGGGATTTTTCTGGATGTACTACGTCACGGTGGTCGACTGCAAGCGCAAACTGTGCACGGGCGACTGTGGCCAAGGAGACTACATGGCAATCGGGTGGGCGCACTTCTTGATAGTTAAAAACAAGCTGCAGTCAATACGGAATTATGCCGGAAGCCAAGTGGTTTTCCACCCTGCGCCGTGACGCCGTGGCGATGAAGCAGGTCCATTCGAAAGAGCCGCGTTTTCAGGTGGGAAGGAAGTCCAACAAGGAACCTACTGGCAAGGAGACGTCTTTCAGTATAGTCCGGACTTCGGGGTCGAGCCCAGCTCTCCTGTGCAGAACTTTGCACTGGCTCTGAATAGCATTACCGTTTTTGCGCAATAGCAATTTCTAGCAACTCATTTAAATTATTTTTTGATTTAAACAAAAAAAATGCGTCCATCAGTCGCGACTTTTGATGGACATAAAGCTTCGAATAAGTTTTTTCAATGTTTTTTTTCATAAGGCTTCTAATTAAGCGTTAGTGCGGCCTGTCCTAAAAAATGCTGAGGCGCTTTATCAAATACGCTACCTGACTCAAAATTTTCGGAAAATGGAAATTTTCAGGGCACAAAAGTCAATTTAGTGTTCAAATCAAGCAATCGCTATTGCGTAAAAACCGTGAAAGTATTCAGAATCAGCGCAAAATTCTGCACAAGACAGGCCTGGTCTCATCCCCTGGTTCGGACGACACTCAAGAACGTCTCCCTGTAAGGTCAAACTGGCGTTTCGGTTTTGGACCCAGCTTTTTGGGGATATCATGCGACGAATTTCTGGTTGATTCCGAATAGCTTCCCATTTTGCCAAATAACCTGCTTTAAAAATAAGAAAAACTTTACCAAATGGGGACAAACCGCTAGTCCCGACAAACCGTTCATGGACGTTCAAACGTAAAACGTTTCGATATTATTCAGATGACGTTCAAACGCTCGACACAAAAAAGGGGCTCGGATGTGGAGGTCTATTATGTCGAGGAGGAGGGCGACAGCAAAGCGGTAGCTTCGAGAAATTGCAACAAATTGGTGTTTAGAAATATGCACTCTGGAATGTGGCGCGAACGAAATTCGCCTTCGGCAAGGTGAAGATTCCGGATTTCAGCGACTATTTTATTCAGGGCCTGCCTCACTACACGTATATCGATTATGATGGCAAAACGATATCGGTATTTTCAAAATATAAAAAATATTAAAATATACCGAGAGCTCTTAAATTTTCTATAGAAACCGCATTTCTATGAAAAGCTTTTCTGCAGTCTATAAACAAGAAAATCAAGCTTTTTCTAGCTCTTGAATCAGGAAAACTTTGTGACGGTCAAAATCCGGAACACCGATTCACTATGGCCGCGAGAGCTAGACTTCGGAAAAGGTAGTCGTTCAATGAATTAAGGCAATGGATTCAGTCGATTGCAGTAACGATTATTTCATTTTTTAAAGATTGTATTATATCAATTTAATAGATCCTTGCTACTTTCTGCATAAACGTGGAGAGGAGTTTGTTTGGGTCCTCGCTAAAGCATCCGACGGAACCAAGGTAACTTGCATAAAAAAATCCAGTTAGTCTATCCCATTTTCGAATTTCTTCGCTGCCACCGGCTTGCTTGACGACGCTTCAGAATCGAAGATCTGCCCAATATTGCTGTAAGTGAAATCACCAATTAGCGCTATCGGTGCTTTTAGGAACCATGCTCTGATTTCCACGAAACGTCTCTACGGATGATGGCCCGGCCCCGCAATGCGTGCTTTTCGAAGACCGAAAGGAACGAGTAGATCTGGCGACTAAAAAATTATACTGGTGCTTCAGTGACTTTTCTGTTGATAAAACGGTTCTTGAGTTTTAGTCGTCTGATGGACAGACGCGCACATAAGACCGGGGACTTATTTAACCATCCGACATATCTTTTAACAATGAACGAACGGCACATGAAAAACATTCGATGAATCTTGGGACCTCCCTAACCGATGCTTGAATGCTAAGCAAATATCCCCTTCTCTCACTCACTCTCTCTCTCTCTCTCTCTCTCTCTCTCTCTTTCTATCTCTCATTCTCTCTCCTCATTTTTCCTCTTCTCTCCTCTTCTCTCTCTCTTTTTCTCTCTTTCTCTACCTCTCTCTCGCTCTCTCTGTTTACCGGGAAAAAGCACTTATTAAACTTTTTTTTGGGCGCTGACCACCGAGTCGATTTTTCACTAAAAGCCAGATTTCGAAAGCTGAAAGCGGGGCAGGGCGCCAACTAGCGTCCATTATCAGTACAAGAATTTTTTGATTAGTCAATTTTTAAATGGCGGATAATTGTTTCTATGAATTTGGATGAAATTCTCAAGATAAATTTATAAAAGATCAATATGAAAAACAATTCATAAAAAGGATCATGTGGACAAAACACAAAAAAAAATCAGGACTTTGTAAAACCGGCGATTGATGCTAGCGCATGGGTTTCTTTATGTTTTTCTGTTTGTTGCTTTTCTTTGACCCCCAACTGTCCAATCCCCCAAAAGATTTGCTTATGCAATAAAACGATCCCCCGGGACAGAGGTAAGCGCGGCTGGTATGGCCTGTTGCCCAAACTGCCGTTGTAATCCGAACACCATTCTCCTTGATATCAGATTCTCCATAAGGTCATCTCTAAATATATCCACAGCTATTATTTATTAAAGGCTAAAACTCAAACGAATGTCCGGATGTCGGGTGCCGCCAATTCTGTCGCCGCGCACCGCTATTAATGTTGTTAGATTTAACGATACTACCTGGATGGTGGCCGGTATGTTAAATCAATTTGTGCTAGGCCTACAACCAATTACTTTAGCTATCGAAAACTGCCTTGGAAGTGGGCCTTTGACTGAAGGAGAAAACTCGCAAAACGACAGACGGGAAGAGCGGTTATATCGGATTTTTTTGTGTTAATGAAGTGATTACCCAATTTATAGTGGTTCCATATCATGCTCCTTTCGAAGGTAATCGTTCTATTAAGAAATCCATTATAAAATCACATTTTAGGACCGTGTATTCTTGTATTGACCTATTCTATGAAGTATGCAATTATCGACTTTGTAAAATTAATAGAGGATTTGTGGGGAGAAAGGTATGTTTTACCGTAAGAGAATCAGATTATTAATAAGGGCCAGCTAGCAAAGATCGTTTGCTTTCTTTTAAAAATTCAGATAACCTTTTAAGGGCACCGGAATGGGAGAACCGTAGTGGATATATCCCCTCTGCAAACAGGAGAAGAAAGTGAATTTATTGCGGCAATCAGACGGAATGGATCTTTCACTCCAAATTTGTGGCTATTATATCCACTACGGTTCTCCATTCAGTACCTAAAGATTATCTGTAAAAAAGCAAACGATCTTTTAACTGACCCGATTCTATAACATTGCGCGCCAACTCTTTCCCAAAATCATGCGAGTCGACAATGCATATTTCTTAGAATGTCAGCTCTGGCACGATCCTAAAATGTTTTTTTTATGAACCCTCTTGTAAGTATTTGCCGCTTCGAGCATGATGGAGAACCACTATGGTAGTGTCACTCATTGAATCCGTGTAACTAAATAGCCATCTTGTATCGTTGCCGGTTACTCCTTTCAGGCAATTTGGGCGTTTCGTGCTAAGTATTGACCCGTCTTGTGAAGTGATTTGGCTATGCACCGGCCTGCACGCCAGGCTCGTAGCAAATTCAACGGCATGTGCCGAGACGCGCTGGCAGCTCGGACATTGGGCTGGAGTTTTAACGCTGTAGCTGCCGGACCTCATTTGGGGTGGTCTTGAAGAATGCGATATCAGCTCGAAGGTGTGGCGTTCTGGCGGTTTGGCGCACGAGCTTCATATTTATACCCGTCCCGATCGTTTTGTGCATAGCAAATCTTTGGGGGATGAGCAGTTAGATCACAGTACTAAACAAACAAAATATAAAGGCTGATGTGTTTTAGCGCCGGTACAAAGTCTGATTTGTGTTTTATTTCACATGATCCTTTTAGATTTTTCTTGTCTTGAGAGCTAAATGTCAAGTTCATAAGCCAGTATCCGCCGTTAAAAATTGACTAATCAGAGCCAGCTATCTGTGGACATGAGTACCGCTCGGCTTTCGAGTCAGCTGAGTGAAAAGTGAACTCTCGGTAGCAAAAGTTTACAACAAATTCTTTCCCATTAGCTGAAACAGCGAAGAAAGAAGAGAGAAGAAAGAGAAGAAGAATGAGAGAAAATGAAAGAGAGAGAGAGTAGTGAGAAGAGAGAGGATGACTGTTACATCATCGGTTGAGAGATACAGCTTTTCATGTGCCGTTCGTCTCGATATGCTGTCGGATGTTGGAAATAAGTCCTGAGTCTGGGTTTTAACCATCGGGCGACTAAGATAGACACAGCTCGGCAGAGGAAATCATCGAAGCCGCCATTTTATTACATCTTATAGTTCCTTTCGTAACAAAGCGAAGACACCCGGCTAAATCAGGCATGACCTGGCACCGATAACTGGTGTGTTCCCTTACGGCAATATTGAGCAGTTTCGATTCTGGCGTCGTGACGGCTCGAAATGGGATGACTAACAATTTTATGCAGTGCTGGTTCCGTCGGATATGCCAACGAAAGGACCCAAACATTTCTCACGTTGAAGTAACGGGGATGTGGAAATTGAATGTCTGATCTTTGAAATGAGGTAATCGTTACCGTCGACCTGATCAGCCCGCGCTGAATCGTTGAACGACTACCTTTCGGAAATCTGCTCTCGCGACTCTCGACCGGACGACCGTCTGGATTTCGTTGGAATAGAAAAGCGATTTTTGCGTTTATGAACGCGAAAGCCGTAGAGAATGCGGTTTGCCGAAAATTTACCTCTTTTTAAAATGCCGATCGTTTTGCGTAATGATGCCCGTAGTGGGTGAAGGCAGGCCTGACAAAATGGTCGCTGAAATCCGGATCTTCACCTTTGCCGAGCTGGATTCGCGCCGGAAGTACTTTGGAAACGCCAATTTGTTGCAATTTCTCGGCTTCCGCTTTAGCTGTAGCCTCTCTCGCAAATAGTCCCGATCGAGCACCACGATCGAGCGAACGTCATCTGGTGAGCTTTGAACGTCCATGAGCTCCTTTGTCGGACTGGCTTTGACTGACAAAGTTTTCTTGACCAAAGCGAGGTATTTGGCAGATGGGCTGACAAGATCGGCCAGAGTGATGCATGCTCTGGTCGACGCCCGTTTGTTTTTCGAGGAGAGACGGACATCGATCGACCGAGAGGATGAACTGAACCTGTCTTGTGCTGAATTTTGCGCCCGTGAACTGCTGCGGGCACACGCAGCCAGCGACAACATTTGAACGCTAAATCTGACTTTGATAACCTGAAATTTCATTTCCGAATTTTAGTCATTCAGCGTGTTTGACAAGCTTGCTCAGTATTTTAGGACAGTGCTGCAATTAGAAACGCTTATGGCATTGGCTTATTCAGCATGTCGCACGACTGTTGGACGCATTTTGTTTAATCAAAAATAATTTAAATGGTGCTGAAATGCTATTGCCCCCAAATGTGTATTCGAGCCGGTGCAAATTCTGCAGGAAAGCTGGGCTGGCTGACGGACTACTGAAGGCGTCTCCTTGCCAGTCCCTGTTGGACTTCACTTCCGCTGATATGGACTAGCGCATCACCGCGGCATCACGAACGGCTCGGCGCCTGGTCCGTATTGACTGCGGCTTGTTCCAACTTCTACCGAGATGCGCGCCCTTGGCACCGTGCGGACTAAGCACAGTCGACGCAGCGGTATGTACATCAGAAAATCCCTCCTGCTCGTCCTAAATGAGCGGCAGAAGCCAGTGTTTCTTGGTATTTAATATCTTTTGTGAGGGGACTACCGCTGGGCCCTGCGGCAAATATGAGGAACTGGTCGGAAGGATGGCAAACGGAAGACTGCCGTGGGTTGATACTCGGGATCTTCACTGTTTTTCGACATTCTTGTTAACCTGTTGGTAAAAAGCGTCCAAATCTTGCTAACTGAGAACCTCACGCGGACAGGGGTGGAATTTCGAAAAACGCGCGCGGCTAACCCTGGGTAATCGACCATTGCGATCACGATGCAGCTGATCAGATTTTTCTGAATGCGCGTAATGGCAGACAGATACAGCACCTCCGGAAAATGATGATTTGCATGAAAATTAGCATCGAGGGATGGTTCTTTGGAAGCTCTCCCATCACTATGGAATCACCAGTTGAATGGCCGAGTGGTAAGCAACTCGCTTGTTAGGATACTGACGAGGGTTCGGATCCGCTCACGATTTTTATTTTGCTTTTGCTGTATTTTCCCAAGCCCAGAACATCACTTAAGGTGATGGTATACTCCCAGGATAATCCGCTTTTCATATTTTTTCGAATCGAATCAGATAAATGCGGATAATCGATCTTTTTGACATTTTTTTCCCGAAAAATATAGTCCCGACATCGAGGCGGACGGCCATGCATCCTTTGGCACGCCAGAAGAACAAAAATTTTGGCCATTTTGTTAAGAATCCTTGTCTGATCGACTGCACCAGAAAATGCTAAGAACGGCACACAAACTCGTGCAAAAATCGACGTGTAAATATTTGCGGGTCTGATACATTAACTGGTCTGGACATTGCAAAAATTCGGCCCAAAAAGCAAAATAAAAATCGTAGGCGGATCCGAACCTCGTCAGTATCCTAGGAAGCGGGGTTGCTTACCACTCGGCCATTCAGCTGGTGATTCCCTGTGTGGGAGAGAGCCTAATAAACCGCCACTCGTGCTCATTTTTCATGCCCTCATCGTTTCAGTA